TTTGAAGCATATTGTTGTTTTTCTTTTTTTAAATTGTGAACTAGTTATGAATTTTTATTAGTTCAGTTGTGTACAAAGATGTGACATTTCAAAAGTGATGCAGTTTTCTCTGTCGTAGTATCTTTTGAGATATACCAGCATATAAAATTGTTCATCATGAGTTTTCAGAATTAGCTGTTATAACGTTGCTTTAAGTATAATCAAAAACTATCAAGCCAGTTGAAATTTTTGTGGAAGCAGATTTTGCTCTAGTTTTACATTACTGATATAATACCGGACGCACTACACATTGATCCTCAACCATTACTTTTTGAAAGTAAGATATCAATGTGTAAAACGTTTTCCCGGGGTCTGAAAAATATTATCTCGGTTATGAATGGTTGGTTTTGAGTTTTTTTCCTAATGTGTCACTTGCCAAAAATATTGCATCAAATGCTCCCATATCGTTTCAAAAGTCACAAGTTGTTACGATAACAAATTAAGCTAACCTTTTTTAATTATCTAGCAAAGTCAATCAGAAAGTTTTCACCTCTATATGCCGGGCAAGTCCTTGTCGTAATTAGTAAACAAAGTCAAAAAGAAAATTTCATCTCAATATGCCGGGCATATTCTTGTCGCCATAATTAAAAATAATCATAAAAAAATAGCAAAAAAATTGATAAAATGAGAAAAAATTTAAATTCAATACCGCCTGGAAGCACACGACTGGATGGACAGCACTCTTAGCTTTGTTCGTAGTATATCAATTTAGCAACAAAACAGCTCACGTAAAAAAGGTTGCCCAATTTTTCGTTGCTTAAATCTGTTCTATCGAAAAATTACGCCGCCAAATGTTGTGCTTTTTTTAATATAACAAAATTTTTGATCCATTATCAAATCAAAGCAACAAAAGGGTTTCCTGCAGTCATCAACTTGATTATTTAATTTCAGTTGACGAACACTTGATGATTTTATGTTTTTTTGAAGCATGTTGTTGTTTTTCCTTTTTTTAATTGTGAACTAGTTATGCATTTTTAATAGTTCAGTTGTGTACAAAGATGTGACATTTCAAAAGTGATGCAGTTTTCTCTGTCGTAGTATCTTTTGAGATATACCAGCATATAAAATTATTCGTGACTTTTCAAAGTTTGCTGTTATAACGTTGCTTTAAGTATAATCAAAAACTTTCAAGCCAATTGGAAAGTTTGTGGAAGCAGATTTTGCTCTAGTTTTACATTACTGATATAATACCGGACGCATTACACCTTGAGCCTCAACCATTACTTTTTGAAAGTAAAATATCAATGTGTAAAACGTTTTCCCGGCGTCTGAAAAATTTTCTCTCGGTTATCACTGGTTGGTTGTGAATTTTTTTCCTAATGTGTCACGTGCCAAAAATTTTGCATGAAATGCTCCCATATCGTTTTAAAAGTCAAAAGTTTTTACCATAACAAACTAAGCTAACATTTTTGAATTATCTAGCAACATAAATTTTTTGAAGAACTTTGGAGTCCTCTCATTTGACCTTAACAAAAACGAGTAGCAGAGAAATATACCGTTAATTCGATGGATCAGAACTTCTTCCTGCTTTGTCCATTGAAACGGTTTTTTCTGTTTTCAGAAAACTGCAAAAAATTGAATTCTAAACACTTAATTAATTTAACGAAATCAGATAATACATAGTTTTTGTTCCAAACACTACTCACTTCATACTAGATTTATGGTTTTGGATAAACTGATCGAGTTTGCTGATTTTTTCGAGATTTTTAAATGGTCCTCTATTCTAAAAAATCGTGTTTGGTGTTATAAGGCGTTGTTTAATGCTGATTCCAGAGAACTGATATGCTTAATTAACAGTTTCCCAGAATTACGATTACGGTGGAGGGGCTGAACGATAAAATTGAAAAATTGGAAGAATTGAGGACAATGAAGTGAAAAGAGTTGAGAGAAAAGGAAAACGAGCGGTGGAATTTAAGCGCAAGTGGTAAAAGTTTTATGTACGGAGCGATTGAAAAGGATGGTAGAATTTACTTTAAAAAAGTTGAGAAATTAGCTCAATTCAGTTTTAAAAAGAAATCAGAGCTAGATACTCAAGGATACTCCAGGATTGCTAAATGGCATTAGTGTGTCCCGGAATTTGACCTCTTTTCTGACAATTTGGCTCTGTCTGTATTTGATAACAGGAAAACTAGTGATTGGAAGTGGCACAGCGTAACCGTTTACAAAAACACAAAGAGAATGGAAACTGTTTCGCTTGAAATAAGCGTACATCGAGGGGGTTATTAGAGTGCTTCTGCATTGGTTTAATGAGACCACGCTCCCATTGAGTTGTGGTTTGAACAACAAAATAGCAGTAGTCACACTGCCATCACGGTCACCTTGCCATTCAATATTGACCTCGCCGTCATCTTCGTTTTAATATACCACACTTAAACCTCAATCAATCAAGTATGTTTTTGCTGCTGGTGTGACAGAGACTTGCTGTCTGGTTTGAATGCCAATTGATTCTCAACTTGAAGGATATATTTGCGTGGGAGAGTTCGAGGGGGCAAAATTCTCCTGGATATATTAACTAAACCTTGGAACAGATATGGCAGAAGTGGACGAAGTAAAAGAGACAAGGCTGCAAGAAGTCGAAAATGTATCACCGTTGGAGAAGATGGTTGTTATGTGCCCAGTTGATGACTACACAGCTTTCGCAACTCGTGGACAAAATTGGAATGAATATCAACCAGTTCTTTTGATTTTCTTTTTTCAGCCCATTTAAGTGCATTTACTATGAAAGTATTGTTCACTGGCATACTCAATTTGTGTTTTTTTAAATAACCTTTTCATATGTTTTTGATTTTGTAGATAATCTTTACAACTAAGCATTTTTAATATAGTAAACTGCTGTTCTTTGGTAGTTGTTTGCTAATAACTTTCAATCAATTTTTATCTCAGTTGGTTGTGTTGCAAACGTACTTTTCCAGTAAAAGAAATTACTGGAAAAATCTTCAATGAACTGAACGTTTATATCATTGCACTATGATCAACATCACTGAAATATGTACAAACCAAATTTTCATAGGGTTATGTCAATTTTGATACTGCATTTTTTATAAATAACAATCAACTCAGCAATAGAAATTTAATCTTGATTCAATTTCATTAAAATTGGAAAGATCAGGTCAAAAAGTATTTGGTTTCCCAGGGAAAGGGTTTTTATTTTGGAAAATCAGTAAACCTCAGAAAGGTCGCCCTGGCTTTTCTCAAAAAAGTTGAAACTAATTGAAAATTAAGGAAGCTAACTAACTGCTGTTTTGAAACAGTACCCGTACCTTGCAAACTTTCTATTTCAGATCTAAATTCCAGATCTGAATTGGGCTGTGAAATAATTAAATAACGCTTGGATGCCTTAAGGAAGGGCTATTTCAAATCTAATTTCAGATATTGATTTTTGTTTTCTTGGTTATTACAGATCTGGAAAAATCTGTTTTATATCTGATTTCGGATCTGAAATTAGGTTTTTTTGTTTTTTTTTAGAGCTGCTAATATAATAATTTTGACTCAATAATGCTATTTTTGATAGTTTTGTATCTGACATCTTCTGCTAGCTACTAGAAGGTGCTCAGCAAAATCTCCAATGGGAGACTGCCAAAATGAGTTTCCCCACGAATGAGATAAACTTTGGAAATGCATAAATAGCCGATGAAAAATATAAAAAAGTTTGATGTGTTATAACAGTTTTTGACAACTTTTTTTTTACAGTTGAACGAAAAATTTAGTTTGAAAAAGAAACAGTTTAGGAAATTATTCGGAGGTTTTTTTTCACAGCTAGTTAACCTAAACTTAATTGTGTTTTTGCTGAAACATCAAAAAATTAAACTCAATTATTTGCTCGAAGTGCTCGAATTATAATTTAAAAAAGTTTCTCAGATCTTATTTCAGATCTGAAATTTTGTTTTTCAAGGTTATTTCAGATCTGAAATATCTATTTCAGATCATTTTTTCGGATCTGATTTCAAATTTTGATCAGATATGAAACAAAGAATTTCAGAACTTAGAAACAATACATGTAAGAAATGAAAACTTTCAGATATTCCACAGAAAATCTCCAAGGTAAAAGTAACCAGAAATGCCGGTAAACTCAATAAAAAGCTTGTGAATTAAACTGTTTTCTTGTCATGCACGATGACGTTAAAAAAATACTTAGGAGCTATGGAAAAATGTGTAAGCCCGCACACAATAAGGGGAAAGACTCAAAGTTTTGCTGTTTCTCTAAATTTTTTTTGCTATCATCTGGCGGTTTTTGTTTTGGCATTAACAAATTAGTAGATGTATTTTTTTACTTAGGAGTCCTCTCATACGAACTTACTAAGTATGGGTAGCAGAATGATATACCGATAATTCGATGGATCAGAATTTCTTCCTCCTTTGTCTATTGAAACGGTTTTTTCTATTTTCAGCAAAATTAGTTCTGAACAATCTCAAATAGATTTTTTGACGTCGTTGTTATAAGCTATTTAACCTTCTTTATACAAAAAATCAGATATTACATAGTTTTTGTTCCAAACACTACTGATTTCATACTAGCTTCATGGCTTGGGTTAAACTGATCGAATTTGCTGATTTTTTTGAGATTATTCGATGATCCTCTATTCTGAAAAAAACATCAAATTTCTTGAGCTCTTCAATTCCGTTTCATCTTGAGTTTTCTGTTTTGTTTGATTTTCTTCAGTTCTTGAAAAAACTGTCTATTATCCGCCGTAAACGCAATTTTAGATGATGTATTTATTGACTTTTGGAAAAGGAAACGAAAACAATTAAAGATATATGTGACTTCGATCTTAAATATTTGGCGACTACAGAAAAGAAAAAACAAATGTCCACTAGAGCTGACGGTAGAGCAGGAGAGGTGTCCAGAGCTGACTCCAGAGCTTCAAAGGTTTCCAGAGCTGCCTCCAGAATGGCAGAATAAGACCCAGAGCTGAAACTTTGGACTAAACGAGCCTCTTCAAGGGTACCTATCTAAATCACAGGATGCCTCAGAGGTCCCACAGCTGTTCAGAGTCTACAAGAACTTTCCATCTTCAAGTCTACATCTTCAATGCCAGCAAACCATGCCAACATTCTACAAGTGCCAAGAGTGCCTGCGAACAGTGCCAACATTCTCCAAAATTCAGGGCATCATCAGCGCCCATTCAGGGCATCATCAGGGCCAACTCAGCGAGTCATCAGTGCTTTTAAGGGCATCATCACCAGTGCGAGGTTGGTCTTAGAGGTCCCCCTCCAACAAAAACAACAAAGTCAACATCAAGAACGGTCTCAGAGGTCCCTCAGCTGTCCTTCTCAACGTCAAGTCAGAGCTCTCAGAGGTCACGCAGCTGCCCTGTTAAGCAATCAGGCTAGATCGGACTTTTAGTAAATCTTCATGGCACTTTCATTCTCTTGAAAGATGTTTTAGACAGAACTGTTTTGTCGTTTTCTAGTTGACCGTAATCATCGCCTTCAATCAGGCACGGCCTTTTTTGTTGAAAAACAACGATTTGAAAAGATTTACAACATTGTTTTGGATCTTTTTTCAGTACTCAAAGAACTGAACTGTCCAAACTCTTCTTTTTTCGAACTGTCCAAACTCTTGGTTGTGCTACATTTTCATACTGAAAACGAATCTAAAACGGTATATCATAACCTATAGATTCATGATTGAGCTTTGCTTTTCTGTTTATTAAATTGTTTATTCTCTATATGCAAATGTAGATTTTCTCTGTTAAAAAAATCGATAGCCAAAACCCGATAGCCAAAATTTCCATAACCAAAAACCAAAAAAAAGGAAAAAAAAAGTGCATTCAATCTAACGTACCATTCCAAAGTTTTTCTCGAAATTTGTAAAAAAAAACTTAAGCGCGCCTTTAGCGTAATGTTTTATTAAAAAATGAACCAGTGGGGTCTTAACAAATTCTCTTCTTATTCAAAAGGTAAAAATGTATTCTCAGCCAAGGTTCACCGCTACATCAAAAAATATCGAAACTATTTGGTAGTTGATACCTGAAGTACGTGATTTTTCATTTTTTTAAAGAAGCTAATAAAAGCTCTATAGAGTTACGCAGGCTCGTAGTGCCAACCACAGTTCGTATGTTTTGTCTACAGAAAAAAAAGATACCTAAATCTACTTTTATTCATTTTAACTTCTCTTCTAAATTTATTCAGCCATTTCTACAACCTTTTCACTAATCCAGCGATGGCTCCAAGAATCTCATAACAAGCGCTCACAATTAAATGGACGTTTCGCGATAATACTCTTGAGAGCCTTGAACGACAACTTAGCAGCGAAATTGCCCAATCTATAGAATTAGAGGATGTTAAAATAAGGGCTAAGGGCTTTTGAATGCCTGCAAGAATTGGCAGATGATATATCGTCGTGCCCTCCAAGTTCTTAGCAGTTTGCTCAAGCAATGGACAATCTAATTCGCAGATGTGGCATGTGGCAACCCTAAATTTGTTGTTGCAGCTTTTACTAGCAAGCTGGATAGTTTTGAGCGACCGCATCTTCATGAACCTCCAGTTTTCGTCATTTTCGATGCTTTAGTACGTAAGCTGAAGCACAGTTTTGAACTAAAGAACTGCACGTCCGACTTGAACTCGAGCAGCCGTACTTGACTTGTTCGCTATAATTTTCCTCCTGCAGTCTTGTTCAAATGGGAAGAGTACTGCAAACATAATGGGATGAACTTTTCTCCACTCAAGGATCTCGCGGACTGGCTAGTAAAAAAGTTAACTTCAAGAATGAGGCATGTAAATTGGAAAGGTTATGTCTGCTGGACAGTAAAGGTCACTCACTACATTGGACACTGCCTAGCTTAAAAGAAGCTAAGTACGCAACAAAAATTCACATAGTGTAGGGTAATCAGTTGTGCTTCAATTGCGTGGGTAACCATCGGTCAACTGACTGTGCTTCTGCAAGTCGTCTTATCATAAATAACTGCGGTGGAAAATAACACTCTTTTCCAAATAGTAATCAGGATAAAACTGCACAAAGACATACCCAGAAATTCAATAATATCAATTTTGAAAACCAATGAATAAAAAATACTGTTTGAAACACCAGCTCTCCTTTATGCCAATTACTTTAATCAACAACGACCAGGCGGTTCGTTGCTATGCAATTCTGGATAATTGCTGCAGCTGTTCTTGTGTCCTAATATGCACAGCTGATACATTACAGTTTAAGCCCAGTCGAATTGTTAAAGTAATAATTCGTAGTGCTTCTAGCGAGGACACTGTTTCGTCAGCTCTAATTTAACTACACATTAGACCTTTCAACTCTACGTCTGCTACGTTTACTCTGCAATCAGTCTACTCGGTGGAAACTCTACACTTCGATTTGATAGATATTGTAAAAGTGAACAACGTATGATCCCGGTATGACCATCTACGACACCTCGCGTTTCCTAAATTCCTCGACAATTCTACTCGGTACACATTCTACTCGGCATCGACGCTTTCTGGCCTAACACAGAGAAGGAAGTTTTGAAAGGCCCTGCCGGCACTCCCTGTGGTGTGCGCAATTTGCTGGGATGGAAGTTAACCGATCCGCTTCATTAAAAGTCTTTAGATGAGCAGTGCAATTATCTTCTAACCAACTTCATAGACACAAATCAACACGAGAATGCTTACTTGACTGAAATTGTTTAAAGTTTTTCGAAAATCAAAGAGTCCGGGAAAACTTCCAAGATAACTAAAGGATCATTTTCAAACAAATTTACTAAGCAGCTAGAGTTTATGAAACCAAGCATTCAACACGATGGAAATTGCAACCAAATCATTTTGCTTTGGCAAAGCAATATAACCTTGCCACGCAACTACGTTGCTGCTAAAGCTCATCTTGAATCTCTAAAACGACGACTACAAAAAGACAAACTCACAATGCAACTGATATTGACTTTTCCTACATCCGCCACCGTTACGAATAGCGTACCTAGGCATAAAAGAAGACGATCAAAGTGTACTACGGTTCTTGTGGCCGACTAATCAAGGAGTTAAGCAGTGTCAGTATACGCGTCTTGTCTTCGGAGACAGATGCTCGACCGTAACAGCCATCTTCGCACTACATCAAACAGCCGTCTGAAATTTTGTTTTTCGACGTTACTTCAGATCTGAAATTTTCTATTTCAGCTCCAAATTTTGGATTAAAATTTTAAATAGGTATGAAATAAAGAATTTCAGAACTGAGAATCAGTAAACGTAAGAAATAGAGAATTTCAGATATTGCACAGAAAATCTCCTGGGTACGGGTAATTTGAAATGCCTGAAAATTAAGAAAAAAGAACTTTGCCTGTTTTTCCATTTTTTTGCTTTCATCTGGTGGCTTTTGTTTTGGCCAAGGAGAACTTGCTTCTTTTGAATTACGACTTACTTTGCATTAACAAAATAGTAGATGTATATTTGCATGAAACTGTCCAAAAAAGGCAAAAAGAAAGGTTTCATCTCTATCTAGGAGTTCTTAGCTTTGTTTGTATATCTATTTACGAAAACACCTCACGGACAACAAGAATGCCCAAAAATTTATTTTAAAGTTTTTTCTAACGAAAAATTACGCCACGAAAATTTGTAGTTTTTTCAATTTAAAGCAACAAAAGTGTTTCTTGCATTCAGCAACTTGGTTATTTAACTTTACTGGACAAACCTTTGATGATATTATGTTGTTTTTTGGAAGCATATTGTTATAGTTTTTCCTTTTTTTAAGAGTGAACTAATTATGAATTTTTAAAGGTCAGTTTTGTACAAAGTTATGACATTTCAAATTTGATGCAGTTTTCTCTGTCGTAGTATCTATTGAGATATACCAGCATATAAAATTATTCATGAGTTTTCAAAATTAGCTGTTATAACGTTGCGTTAAGTTTAATCAAAAACTATCAAGCCAATTGAAAATTTTGTGGAAGCAGATTTTGCTCTAGTTTTACATTACTGATATAATACCGGACGCACTACACATTGAGCCTCAACCATTAATTTTTGAAAGTAAGATATCAATGTGTAAAACGTTTTCCCGGGGTCTGAAAAATTTTCTCTCGGTTATGACTGGTTGGTTGTGAATTTTTTTCCTAATGTGTCACCTGCCAAAAATATTGCATCAAAAGCTCCCTTATCGTTTCAAAAGTCAAAAAGTTTTTACCATAACAAAATAAGCTAACCTTTTTTAATTATCTAGCAAAGTCAATAAGAAAGGTTTCACTTCTATATGCCGCGCAAATCCTTGTCGTAATTAGTATTCGATGCTCCTCTACCCGAGTCGAGATTTTTCACCTATTTTGAAGCAAGATTTGAGCGGTTTGAGCGGTTTTTGAACGGTTTATCTAAAAAAACCGCTCAAAAACCGCGCAAGATTTGAATGGTTTTGAGCGGTTTATCTAAAAAAACCGCTCAAAAACCGCGCAAGATTTAATAATAAAAAGTCGACCACAGAGGGATTCGAACCCGCAATCTTCTGATTCGAAGTCAGACGCCTTATCCGTTAGTCTATGCGGACTTGCTGGAAGCTGAATATTCACTGTGTTTTTTCTAGAGTTGATGTAGCGAGTTGATACTGAGATACGATATAGCTGCTTTAACGTGTTAAGTTTTATTCGTTAATCGGCCAAAAATAGTATGTTAAAAAAGCATTGTGAGATACTTGACAGACAAAGTTATATAAATAACCTAAGAGACTGCTAAAAATATGTAAATTTTGGGTATATCGAACCAATTCGCACGTTGGGGGGGGGGGGGTACGTTGGTGGGGGGGATTTAATGGATGTTGGATACGTTGAGGGGGTACGTTGGGGGGAGGGAGTACGTTGGGGGGGTGGTGGGGGGGGGGGGCATGTAAGTTGGGGCGGGGGAGGAGGTGTTGTTGTTGACGTGAAACCGCTCAAATCTTGCTTGAAAAACCGTTCAAAAATCACCGCAAGATATGAGCGGTTTTTGAGCGGTTTTTAAGCAAGATTTGAGCGGTTTGAGCGGTTTTTCCAAAAAAACCGCCCAAACCGCTCAAATCTTGCTGGAAAACCGCTCAAACCGCTCAAATCTTGAGCGGTTTTTGAGCGGGATCTCGACCCGGGTATTCTTAAAAAAACATCATTTTTTTTTATTTCTTCATTTGTAAGTTCTGTTTCATCTTGAGTTTTCTGTTCTTTGATTTGCTTCAGTTCTCGAACGAGCTGTCTATTATCCGCCTTAAACACAATTTTGGATGATGTATTTATTGACTTTTGAAAAAGGAAACGAAAACAATTTAAGATATATGTGACTTCGATTTTAAATATTTGGCGACCACAGGAAAGAAAAAACAAAGGTCGACTAGAGCTGACTCTAGAGCTTCAAAGGTTCCCCAGAGCTGCTTTCTGAATGGCAGATTTTTCCCCAGAGCTGACATTTTTGACTAAAAGAGCCTCTTCAAGGGTAGCTATCTAAATCACAGGCTGCCTCAGAGGTCCCACAGCTGTTCAAAGTCTACAAGAACTTTTCATCTTCAAATCTACATCTTCAATGCAGCAAACCATGCCATCATTCTACAAGTGCCAAGAGTGACTGCGAACAGTGCCAACATTCTCCAAAATTCAGGGCATCATCAGCGCCAATTCAGGGCTTCATTAGGGCAATTTTAGCGCATCATCAGCGCCAATTCAGGGCATCATCAGGGCCAACTAAGTGCGTCATCAGCGCTTTTTAAGAGCATCATCAGCGCCATTTTGCTGCATCATCAAGCTACCACTGCCAGGTTGGTCTCAGAGGTTCCCCTCCAACAAAAACAACAAAGTCTAATTCAAGCACGGTCTCAGAGGTCCCCCAGCTGTCCTTCTCAACGTCAAGTCAGAGCTCTCAGAGGTCACGCAGCTGCCCTGTTAAGCAATCAGGCTAGATCGGACTTTTTAGTAAATGTTCATGGAACTTCCATTCTGCTAAAAGATGTCTTAGGCAGAACGGTTTTGTCGTTTTCTAGTTTACCGTAACCATCGCTGACAATGGCAATACTTTTGGGTGATTAAGATTCCAATTTCAAATCGTAGTTTAGTTGTTGCTTTTGAATGATTTCTTTTTGATTTTTGAGTTTTGAGTCTTTCATTTTTTTAATTTGGCGGCATATTCATGGCGAAAATGTGGCAAAATTAGGTTCAGCAAAGAATAAAGTTCAAATGTCGTAGACATAGCCGGGCCCATTTGCAGGTTGCAAATCAGAAAAATTGTTCGTTGAAGCTGATGGTACGTCGTCGTTGATTGTAATGGTCATCTAGTTGTTAGCTGTCGTTGATCATGTTGGTCATCTAGTTGTTACTTTGGTCCAATACTCGCGAGAGTTTGACTGCTGGTCGGTGTAGAATCCCCCTACTAGTTTTAATTTCACAGGAGCGAACGATTCCGTCTGCACCTGGGAAAGTAAGAAGTACCCATCCCAGGCGCCAAAGACCTCGAGGCGTTAGGTCTTCCAGTATCCATACAAGGTCTCCTTGCTGAAGATTTTCCACTTGCTTTGTCCATTTCGTTCGGGTCGTCAAGGTTGGCAAGTAGTCTTTGAGGTATCTGTTCCAGAACTGTTGACTCAAGGCTTGAGCTTGTTTCCAAGTTCTCTTGTCCGTTGTGTGGCGAGGGAGAAACAATCCGGGAGGCAAATTGTTTGTTGGTCGTCCTAGTAGAAGGTGATTGGGTGTAAGGGGCTCGTCGTCGGTTGGGTCTGATGAGACGTGGGTTAGCGGGCGAGAATTCATCATAGCTTCAACCTCGCTCGTGAAGGTTGACAGAGTTTCGTCGTCCAGTGTCCGTGTTCCAATGACTTTGTAGAAAGCAATCTTAAATGTTTTTATGAGGCGTTCCCATGATCCACCAAAGTGAGGAGCTGCAGGTGGGTTGAATTTTCAGGTTATTTCAAGTAATTGGCATTGATTGTTGAAGTGGTTGCTGTGTTGAATCTCAGAAAGGCTTTCCTGTGATTCCTTGTCAGCTGCAACGAAGGCTTTTCCGTTGTCAGAGAAGATGATCCTGGGTTTACCGCGTCTAGCGATGAAACGGCGTATGGCTTGTAGAGTTGAGTTTGTGTCGATTTGCTGGCATATTTCTGAATGAACTGCTCGCGTGACGAGGCAGGTGAAGAAGAGAACGTATCGCTTACTGTACTCGTCGTTGTTCCGCGTGGCAAAGGGTCCAAAGAAGTCAATTCCTGTTGAGTAGAAGGGGTAACTGTTTTCCGATAAAGGGAGTCGTTGTAGGGGTAGATCTGCCATCAGAGGCTTCACTGGTTCCTTTCGAAGGCGTCGGCAAGTTATGAATTGTCGAATAGTTTTCTTCAGATGCTTGCGTGATCTTATGATTCAAAAGTCCTGCTGAAGAATGCTTCGGGTGTGTTCCATTCCACAATGGGAATTTATTTCGTGTGTTTGCTTCATGAAGAGTTGTATTGGGTAGTTTTCTGCGTTCAGAATGATTGGATGTCGGCTGCAAAGTAGAAGCGGGGCTTTCTGTAGTCGTCCTTTGGCACGTAAGTATCCGTGATCGTCGATGAAGGGGCAGAGAGGTTGTAGAGGGCTGCGGGGTGGAATGTCAGATTTCTTTGTCAGGCATGCTATTTCCTTGGGAAATGATTGATTCTGTGAGTGTTTAATGATCCATGCGAGTCCTAAGGTGAGGTGTTGAAGTGAGAGGTTCTGGCGTGTCTTCCTTTGCTGTTTTCTGCGAAGAGAAGAACATATGAAGTAACTCTGAGTGCTCTTGTCCAAGTGCTAAATCGGTTGAAGTCGATTACTGATGTTGGCGGTCAGATGAATATCGGCTGTAGGTTGTGTTGGCGGATGATATCGGCTGTAGGTTGTGTTGGCGGATGATTAGGCCAATCTGATGATGGTCTTAACAAGAAGTCTGGTCCTTTGATCCATCGTGAATCGGTAGTCATGTCACATGCTTTGTAACCACGTGTTCCGTAGTCTGCAGGGTTGTCTTTGCTGGGCACGTATCTCCAGTCCAGTGAAGATGTTGAGTCCATGATGAAATTCAGTCGGTTGGCAATGAAGATCCGGTGTCGTTGATTCGGCGAGTTTATCCAATGAAGAACTGTTGTACTATCTGTCCATAGTGTCGTACTGTACATTCGTATGTCATGTTGTTCTTTGATGAAACGAGACAGTTTAGCTCCGTTAGTGGCGGCTTGAAGCTCGAGATTTGGAATTGTCATTCTGCTGATGGGTGCTACTCGGGCTTTTCCAATGACGAACTTGAGTTCCGTTGTGTCGTCGTCGTATCTGATTCTGAGGTAAGCAACTGATGCTAAGGCAAGTTCGGAGGCGTCGCTGAATACATGGAGTTGGGCTTCCAGTATCTTCGTTTCTGCTTTGAAGTAAATCCGGGGCAGGCAGATGTCGTTGAATTGGCTTCTCTTGTCTATCCAATCGTTGAGGTCTGTTAAATGCTCCATGTTTAGAGGTTTGTCCTATTGAGGTCCATTACTCCAGGCAAGTTGAAGTGATTGTCGTAGTCGAATTGTAAGTGGCATCGTAATTCCAAGCGGGTCAAAGATTGAAGAAGCAAACTTCAATAGTTTGCGGTGCGTTAAGTCCTTCTTGTCAATGGCGTGAAACTTCTTTGCTTCCACAAGAAAGACGTCCGTGTCTGGTTTCCATTTCACTCCAAGAACTCTTTCGAGGGGTTGTTCCTTCTGGGTGAGGCTGTCGCTGTTTTAAAGTGGTTCTCGTTGACTGTTGTGAGGAATTGTTGAGAGTTTGAGGTCCATTTTGTGAGGTTGAAACCTCAAAGATTGAACATCTTTTGAAGGTCGTTCATTAACTGTGTCGCTTCCGTCGGCGTTGAAACGGCTTTGTATAGGTCGTCCATGTATATGTTGCGTTTTGTGATTTGCTCCAAGGCTGGATATTTGTCGGCATTGTCCTTCGCACATTGTCGAGTGGCGTAGCAGGCAACACATGGTGATTCGGTAGCTCCGAAGATGTGGCGGGTGTATTGGAAGGTTGCGGGTTGGCCCGTGTTGTCCTTCCACAGAAATTGCATATACGGTTGGTCCTCTGGGCTCACGAAGACCTGCATGAACATTGCTTCAATGTCGGCAGAAATAGCGATTTGGTCCTCGCGAAATCGCATAACGATTCCAGTAAGGTTTGTGAGGAGGTCTGGAAGACCTGCATGAACATAGCTTCAATGTCGGCAGAAATAGCGATTTGGTCCTCGCGAAATCGCATAACGATTCCAGTAGGGTTTGTGAGGAGGTCTGGTCCAGTTAGTAGGTTGCTGTTGAGTGATACTCCTTTGTAGATGCTCGATGCATTAAGGACTCGGCTTACCTTGCCAGGTTTATTGATGTTTGTCACTGGATGATCAGAAGGTACCATTTTCTTGTTGAGTCTTCATGAGAATCATCAACTTTGACTATGAAACCTTTCTGCAAGTCGGTGTCGATGGTCTCCTGATATTTCTGTGCCATCTCGGTGTTTCTCTTCAGTCGTTGGAGAAGGCTGTCGAGCTGCTTCTTGGCAAGCCATCTATTGTTTGGCAGTTGTTGTCCACGTTTCCAAAGCATTCCAACTTCGTAATGTCTATTGGGCAAGCGGGTTGTTGAAGATTCCAAGATGCGGAGAGCTTCCTTGTCGTCTGTCGAGAGGCTGCGTTGGTCAGTTGAAATCCCTTCGGCGTCCAATTTCATCCATTCAGCTACGTGGCGAAACAGTGTATCGTCTGTCGTGACGTTGATTGTGTTGATGTCGTTGGGTGTCGCTGCATTGTCTCGTCCACAGAGAGACCATCCAAGTGGCGTTTTCCATCCAATAGGCCCATTTTGTTTTGAATGGATTACTTCTGAAGGTGTCACGAGTTCGGCGAAATCGCATCCAATGATGATTCTAATTTCTTTCGAGGGCAGTGTGGCTATCCGAATGTGTTGAAGTGGCTCGTTCCTTTGGCAGATGGAGTTGACGAGTTCAGGGTTGAATTGGGAAAGGTTCCAATCCATTATGACGTCGATGTCATTTAGTTGAAATGGCTGCTTTTGCTGGTTGTAGGGTCCATTCGCGATCGTTATCTTTGTAGAAGCTGTGTCTGATGATGTCAGTGCTTGGTTTAGCTGGATGGTGTCGTCTAAATGCAGATCTGGTTTAAGTTGGAGGGCGATTGATGATTTAAGCAATGTCAGTTTGCTTCCACAATCAAGCATTGCATAGGCATGAACTCTATGTTTGCCATGAGAGATCGTTATTGGTAGGGTCGGAATGTGGCGAGTCGATTTCCTTCTGCTTATGCTGGTGCTGCAGTTGGTGGTGTCGTCATGTTGTCTGGAGTTCCGGTTGGCTGTCTCCCTCTGTGTCGTCGAGTTGTAGGTGCTGCTGTTGTGCAGAAGCGTGTGGTGTTTCTTACTGCATCCGTCCGTCCGGCAGGTTTGCGTTGATTGACAGTCGGCGAACTTGTGGGGGCTGAGGCAGTTGAAACATAGTTGTAGGTCCCTGGCATGCTGTAATCTGTCCTTTGGGTACATTGCGATGAAGTGTTGGCATTTTCCAAGGTACTGGCAATTGCGTTTCTCCGGGCAAAAATATCGTCGTTGATCCTTTTGTCCAGATTTATGTTGCTGCTGGCTGCGTTGCTGGTTCCGGTTGTTCTGATTGGCGCAGTGATCCGATGGTCCATGTTGGTGGGTGTGACCGTTGGATGATGATCCTTGAGTGTTGCTGCTGTTGTAGTTGTTGCTGCTGCTGCTGTTTCTGGTGTTGTTGTTGCTCGGCAAATCGCTGCATGCTTCGGCGTAGATGTTGAACCAATTGGTGAGGTCGATGAGTGATGGTTGTCTGATGTTGCATTGCAGATTGTATCTATTCCATTCTAGTCGGCAAGGTGTAGGCAGTTTTGACAAAACTGTTTGGACACTTGTCGTAGAGTGTAGATCGTGCTGGAATCCAAGTGTCGTGAATGTATCGACCATTGTCTGTAGGAAGTTGGCGAGGTCCTTGTAGCTTCTGGTATGTCGTAGATTGGGGCCGCTGATGGCGTCGAGTCGTCGAAGCAAGGATGTAACTATCTTCGTCGGGTTACCAAAGTCGTTTCCAGTCGCTGAAGGGCTGCGTCATACATTGCTCCATAGCATCCATATCCTCGGATGAGAGATTTGGCATCTCCGGATACAAGTTTCTGCAGATGTGCCATCTTTTCCGAGTTTGTCATGTCGGTGCTGTTGATGGTTGCGTTGAACAGTCCTATCCAATCTAACCATTGTTCAGGTTCTCCGTCGAGTATGAATGGTTTGACAATGGGCACTGATTTCCTGAATGTCTTCGAGATCGTTTGATGATAGTTGTGGTCTGTCGGTGCTGTTCCAAGGTTGGTCGGAATCGGAAAATAAGTCGGCTGGTTCTGATGTGCTGCATGTTGATGTGCTGCATGTTGATGGGAGGGAGGTCGGTTGATATTTGGGTGAGTTGTTCCTGTTGGTCCCCTGCAGCCTGCATGAGTGAAGGCTGTTGTTGATGATGTCGGCATGTTCGTAGGATTGTATGCTGTCGTGGTTCCCAGTAATCCTTCCTGGTACGATCGAATGGCAGGTTGTGTACATTGGTGAGTCAGGGTCGGCTGGCTGGAGGTCCAATTTATTGCTGTTCGTTGATCTCCTTGGTTTGTTGGCAGTAGTGCTGGTTGTGCTGGTATCGGTACTCCGTTGATGTTTGTGATACCCTAAGCTGTCGTCTGGTGTCCACTGAACACGTTGGTGGGGGGATGATTGGTGAATTCTGATTTCCAATCGTCAAGATGGGTCTAAAGGCGCTAATCGGATTATGTGTCCTCTGTTGCTGACTTGGAGGCTGATTCTGTTGTAGGCTTGAAGGCTGGCTCTGTTGTTGGCTTGAAGGCTGGTATAGTCCATGTGGGGGGCTAGCTGTCTGGGGAGCAAGAATTGTGTGTGTGATTTGCTGTCCAATTATTTGACTCTGAGCTGCTTTTGAAGTTGCTGTCGGAAGAAATATTGGCGCTGAAACATTTCTTTGTTGGGTTGCTGGTGCGTTCATCTGCTGATTGAAAACTTGGATTTGAGTTCCAGGGTTGGAGCGCGGTGACGTTTCATGAAGTTGAGCTTCTGAGTTCGTCTTTGTCCCACTGTTGCTGTCAATTGCTGATTGTCGATTTGGAGTTGAGTTCCACTGTTCAATTCTTTAGTCGTTCCTTGAAGTTGAGCTTCTGGGTGGTTCGGCTGAAGGTTTGAACTTTGTGACAAGTCGGCGTTCGGCTGCTGCAATGAGAGGTTTGACTGAGGATGGAGGTGAGTTCCATGGGCAGTTTGAGTTCCAACAGTTTCTGTTTGTTGTTGATGAATGCGATGTTCCAAGGTATTGGCGTCGCTGTTAGATCCGGGGCGAAGTAGAAGTCCTGAATTGTCCTGGGCGGAATTTGATCTGTGGTTTGAAGTAGCGTTTAAGATTGCTGGCAATCCTGAAAATTGTGGCAAATCGTCCGGGGTGTCCTGGTCCATGGTGACGTTTTGTGTAGTGGTACTACGGGTTAAACTTTCCGTTTGGCCTCGAAGGGGAAGATTTTCCAAGGCATGCCGTATTATTGAAGGCGTCGAGACGTTGCTGGCTACTCGTGATGAGTTTAAAGAAGACGTGGCAGTGTTGCTGAGGGTACGCTCGTATCGTTTTGATTGTAGTTGGATCGTTCGGTACAAAACTTTCAAAATTTTTAATCGTTCAATGATTGAGTCTTGCTGGTCCGTTCCGGTGCGTATTATCTTGACTGCTTCTTTATTGGCATCCTCAAGCAAGCTCTTCAATTGCGTTAAGAAATCGTTTGTGATCTGTACTTCGTCGGAATCGCTTATGGCTTGGTTAATTGCTTTTGCTAAAATTTCTACGTCTGTTTCTATGACTTTAAAAACAGCATCATAGGTTGAATTCATTTTTAATTGACTTTGTCTCCTAATCTTAATTCACGTTTTGACGTGTCAGACAAAATGTAAAATGGCCAATATGTAATTCCTTTGATTACATGGAACCCTCGCAATTGTATTGTAACAGAAAAAAAATGATTTGAGTTTTTTTTTCTTTGGAACTTACGATCAAAAAAAAAAGTAAACAATATGACTGGTTAGTATAAGGATGGGTTCGTTGATTTTTCAAACAAAAAAAAACCTTGGTTTCGGTTTACTTTTTTTAAAAAACTATTGTGCACCAATGACAATGGCAATACTTTTGGGTGATTAAGATTCCAATTTCAAATCGTGGTTTAGTTGTTGCTTTTAAATGTTTTCTTTTTGATTTTTGAGTTTTGAGTCTTTCAATTTTTTAATTTGGCGGCATATTCATGTCGAAAATGTGGCAAAATTAGGTTCAGCAAAGAATAAAGTTCAATTGTCGTAGACAATCGCCTTCAATCAGGCACGGCCTTTTTTTTGAAAAACAACGATTTGAAAAGATTTACAACAATCTTTTGGCTATTTTTTCAGTACTAAAAGAGTGCTAATGTTTCGAACTATCCAAACCCTTGGTTGTGCTACAACTTCATACTGAAAACGAATCTAAAATGCTATGTCATAACCTATAGTTTTCATGATTACGATTTGCTTTTTTGATCGTTAAATTGTTTATTCTCTATATGCAAATGTAGATTTTCGCCGTAAAGAAATTGATAGCCAGAACCCGATAGCCAAAATTTTCTTAACCAAAAAGCAAAAAAAAAAGAAAAAAAGTGCTATCAATCTAACATACCATTCCAAATTTTTTCTCATAACTTGACTAAAAAAACAAGCGCGCCCAGAGCGTAAAGTTTTTATTAAAAATTTGAACCAGTGGGTTTTAAAAAAAACTCTCGTCTTATTCAAAAAGTAAAATTGTATTTTCAGCCAAGGTTCACCGCTAAATCAAAAAATGTCTAAACTACCTGGTAATTAATAACTGAAGTACGTGATACTTCATTTTTTCTTAGAAGCGAATAAAATCCCAATACGAGTTACAAAGGCTCGTAGTGCCAACAACACAGTTCAAATGTTTTGTCTACAGAAAAAAAATTGATAACTAAACCTACTTTCATTAATATTATAACTTATCTTCTAACCTTATTCAGCCATTTCTAATACCTTTTCACTACTCGTCCGACTTGAACTCGAGCAACCGTACCGACTTGTTCGCTATAAATTTCCTTAAGCAGTCTTAATCAAATGGGAAGAATACTGCGCACATAATGGGATGAACTAAGCTACACTCAAGGATCTCGCGGACTGGTTTCACAATTTTGCGAGAAATTAGAATTTTTACCCGTTGCATCATCTCCTTTTACGGGGAATAAAATTGACGAAACAACCAAATACAAAAGTCGTTCGTAACCATGCGTAACAATCAGCGTACCGAAAAAAGAATAACTTAGAGAATGATGCATGTAAATTGAGATGGTTATGTCTGCTGGACAGTAAAGGTCACTACATTGAATACTGCCTAGCTTTAGAAAAGCTAAGTACGCAACAAAAATTCACTTAGTGTAGGATAAGCAGTTGTGCTTCAACTGCGTGGGTAACCATAGGTCAACTGACGGTGCTTCTGCAAGACGTCGTATCATAGATAACTGCGGTGGAAAACATCACTCTATTCCACGTGTTAGTCAGGGTAAAGTTGCACAGAGACATACTCAGAAATTCAAATATACAAATTTGGAAAACCAATGAATAAAAAATACTGTTTGAAACACGAACTCCCTCTTTTGAACAATCACCAGGCGGTTCGTTGCTATGCAATTCTGGACAATTGATGCAGCTGTTGCTGTTTCCTGATATGCACAGCTGAAATTTTACAGTTTAAACCGATGGTGTGCGCATTTTGCTGGGATGGAAGTTAACCGATCCGCTTCATCAAAATTCTGTAGATGAGCAGTTTAATTATCTTCTAACCAACTTCATAGACATAAAGCAACAAGAGATTGCTTACTTAAAAGAAATTGTTGAAACTTTTTAGAAATTCGAAGAGTCCGGGAAAACTTCCAAGTTAACTAAAGGATCATTTTCTAGCAACTTTACTAAGCAGCTACAATTTATGAAAAAAAAAGCATTCAAGATGATGGAAATCCTTACCAAATCAATTTGATTTGGAAAAACAGCATAACGTTGCTGCAAACTCACAAGGCAACTGATATTTATAAAGGTTACGTAACACCCGTAACTTTTCTACATCCGCCACCGTTACGAATATCGTACCTACCACACTACCGGTCAAAAATCCCAGGAAACCTGGTGAAGTTCGACTTGTAACAAATGCTGCATCGGACTTCCAAGGCTTTTCTCTCGATTTCTATTCAGAGACGAGGTAGAATCTTTTTAATCACATAATTGGTTTGCTAATGAGTCTTAAAGAAAAACCAATAGCTTTTTCTGGCGTTATAGCAGGCATGTTCATGCAGAAAGGCATAAAAGAAGACGATCATATGCTCGCCCGCAAAAGCCATCGTCGCACTACATCAAACAGCCGTCGACTTCTGCAACAAAAAACCCTGCATACAACAATTATTTCGTAACAATTTCGCCATGGATGACTTCGTTCATTCTTATGACAATACATTGGAAGCCCAGGAATCAACTAAAGCTTTAAAAGTGACACTCCAAAAAGGAGGTTTCAATTTAACCAAATTTATATCGCGTACTTCTGAAAGGCTTGGTTTCCGCAACGAAACCAAAATGGAAAACACGAGTTTTATTAATCAGAGTAAAGTGGGATAATATGAACGACACACTCATCATTCAGTGTGTATTTAAAAAAAAATTTAACGGCTAAAGAAATTTTAACTGCTTTATAACATTCTGTCTACTGTAGCCAGCATCTCTAATGCAGTAGGATTGGTAGCACCATTTGTCGTATCTCTACTTCGAAAAACTGCTTCAAAAACTTTGGCGATCTGGTAAGAGTTGGAATCAAGTAGTATTTCAAGAATACATCCCGAGTATCGATAAAT